ATTAATGTCCGCAAACGAAACATCAGAGTAAAGAAAAACTTGAATTCAATCAGAGTCTCAGCTCAGTGTGAACGTGAGCTCTCACCATTATTAGAGTAATTCACTGTACCGAATTTACAGTATTGAACACACACACACACACACACACACACACACAGACACACACACACACACACACACACACACACACACAGACACACACACTTCAGCACCTGAATGACACAAACATTGTAGAGCTTTTCATCAGATAATTCTCCATCATCTGGCAGCTGTGTGTGTGTGTGTGTGTGTGTGTGCGTGTGTGTGCGCGTGTTGATCCATCATCAGTTATTATGGGATTACATGGCTAAATCGACTAGCAGAACCTGAAGTTTGGATGTTTTAATGAATGAATAATGTTGGGAACTCTGCCTTCATCATGAGCTGTAATTCCAGATTAATCCGATCCCGGACGAGCCCCCAAAGCCCAGACGCCAAACATTCAGTAAATCACAGATGCCACTGTGTGAAAGGCGTCCCGGTTGAGCAGACGGAGCGCGCGGGACTCGGGAGACGATCTGGACTATCACACAGCTATTTCTGAAAGCTGCCGGTTTATTTTTATGTTGATTATGTTTGCAGCCGAATTCCTGCTCTGGTTCACATGTGCTGCAGTCTCACAGCGAGCGCTGGGCATCTGCACACAACAACATGTTGTGGCAACGGTTGCTATGGGGATGATGGGAAACAGGACAGAGTGGACACACACACACACACTGATGTAGAGCCGAGTGTGTGTCTGTCTGGTGTTTCTCCTAGTCTTCAGTGATTGACTCAACACGATCTCTCTGGACAGAAATGTGAAATACGGACCAATCGCTCGCTTCATTAGTGTCTAATCGTCTTCTTTAACCCCGCCCCTTTTCACAGCGCTGTACGACAGAGCTTCACACACACACAAACTCTAGTGTGAGCGCAGCTTCACTCTCTCATTAACAGGCTGGAGTATCCTGTACCCTCAGTATTTCAGACACCATCACCTTCAGAAACTCCCAGACCTGAGCATGTGCCACACTTCAGCCAGAAGCAGCATTTACTCTCTACACAGGAGTTTACAACCCACTTACATCTGACCCCATTTCCAGAAGCTTCCCCGACACCAGCATGAAGCGTGTGTGTGTGTGTGTGTGTGTGTGCAACTTTCTCTGCCAGTCCTCAGCTTTACTCAGTAGTGCTCTAGATCAGGCGTCTTCAGAGCACCAGTGTTAGCATCTCCAAGAGCCACAATAATGCAGAAGCGCTGCAGTCCTATATGTCCAGCACAGGTCAAACACAGGACAGTTTGTTTACTCACAGTTTCCATGGCGACTTGTCGAGTTTACCATGTGACACAACTAGGGATGTAACGGTATCAGAATTTCACGGTACGGTAATACCTCGGTATGAATGTCACGGTACGGTATTTATTGAATCATTTACAGGAAAAACAAAACTTATGAAAATACTCCAAAAAAGTGCCAAAAGTGTCAATGACATACAAATTAGCCATCTATCTGTAAGCTTTGAAACAGGAACTTCAATTTTAATAACACAAAATTATTAAACCATGTAAAAAAATAAAGTTTCAATTTAGTATTGTTGAAAACTCATCACATTCAACATTTAATCACTCACTCACTTAGATAGAGATGGGTTTAAAGGAAAATGATCATATAAATATAATCTGGTAAAAGCTGGATCTCTGGGTATTTACAATGTCCCCTGCAACAGAAAAAACCCCTCTCATTTGGGACTGAGGTTTCTGGGACAGAGAGATATGACTTGGCCCAGGTTGACAGCAGTGGGTAACGTTGTGCATTGTCTTTCCCCCACTTGAGAGGACAAGCCATGAGTGAGATAGAGATCTCTTTACGGTACAAGTCAATGCCTGCATCAATCTGAACAGTGTGCTGTGTTCTGCAGTCCCCATCACTGTTATTAGTCGTATTCCCTGACTTATATTTCACCACAGTCTGGCAGTGCCTGCATACCGTTTTTGTCTTTGTCTGTCACCTTTTCTCCTTTCTCGTATCTTTTTAGAAAGAAACCGAAATGCTTCCACACATCTGATTTAAAACCCGCTTTAGGTTCGATCATTTCCAGCTCTTTTTCATCTCCGCTACTAGCAGCACACTCCATTGCTGGATCTGTAGAGCCAACAGACCGCAAAGGATGATGGCCACGCCTGGGCTGATGGGAATTGTAGTTTCCGGTACCTCCCATTCGCTTCATTCGCCTGAGCAAATTTTCTCAGAAGACCTATAGTTATATCGAGTCATGCGACTACGGTAATATCGAAAAAAATTAATATTGCGGTATGACGGTATTTACAATACCTTTACATCCCTAGACACAACAGATCACATGGTTTGTGGATATATCCAATTTTGGTGAATATCCTGATCATATGATGAGCTGTGTAAGCACATGTACTGCAGTGTTTAGAGGAGAGCTGCTGGATCTACAACATGTTACTCCATCAACCACCATACCTGTCAACCCTGCTGTTTTCCCAGGATTCTCCCGTATTTTACAGTTCTATCCCGCTATCATCCCGTAAAGGTATTTTCCCGTGTTTCTCCCGTATTTTCAGTGTTTCTCTGAAGGTTGGCAAATAAACATTAAAGAGTCGATCCTCCCTATACGCAACCCATACCACTGATCATCTAGGAGCAGCCCCTCACTCTTAAATATGAGTCTGTTCAGTGCTTTCGCTTTGTTGAGGCATGAAACACTTTGAAATAAATATAAAAACAGCGCGATTCCCCTAACTTTCCTTTACAGCTGCCGTCTCCCCTTTATATGCAATCCTCAAAGCAGTCATATAGCAGTGCGTGACTGTCAGCTGACGCGCTCCATACTGATGGGATTTGATAGCCTGATTGTATTCCTTTCTAACAGCTATTAATTTTAATAAGCTGAACTGTTTGCTAATGTATCTGCTGCTGATGTAAACTGTTTATTTGATTATTTTGTAAATAATAATAATAAAACATATTACTGACCATTTCACTGTTTATTTACGAGGAAACAGCTCCAAATGAACATGTTTAGTCATGTGGGGATTTTTTAAAGGGGAAAGAGGGGGATCCCTTACTATGGTGGGCATATCCCACTGTTGACAGGTATGAACTTCAGCCCAATGTCATCAGAGTGGCTGTTTAACAGGGAGAGGAATGGAGCATATCTAGACAGTGTGAAACCAATGTAAATAAAGCAGATCATGTGTTAAACTATTAGTGATCGTACGCTTCAGGGACCAGAGCAACAGTGCTCACAGCCGTGTGTTAATATGGGTTAAAGCTGTTTTTACTATACTTAAATGTAGAACTCCTCTGCGTAACCGACCTCACAGACCTCAGCGTTATCAAGCAGAACAAAAGTGAACTTAGAAGTGAACATGTTCAAGGGCACTGCAGTCCATGTGTTAAACATGGATAATATTAAACACAAACCAATATTAAATGTTCCTAAATGAAGCTGTCGTCTTCCCCCCCCTAACTAGTAAACACACCAACTCACAGTCATCCTTGTTATGGAGCTTCTTTAGTGCCGTTTGCTGCACATGAACTCTTGTGTCTGGAAGAAGGATCATACACACACAGGTGCTCAGATTCATCACTGTGTAATGTCAGAATCTTTATTAATCAGACAGTAGATAATGGCACTGCTAACACCAAAGTTAGGCTTCGATTCCCAGGGAATGAGTAAACTGATCGAGCGCACATGAGTCCAGTGTAAGCCGCTTCATATAAAGCTCAAATAAAGGGAACGCTTTCCTTAACATCACATTTTCGTACATACTAATAAATCACGTATACCTCTATACCAGGGGT